AATGCATATTTGAGAGTTTTAGAAGCAAGAAGTTCCTTAGTGATATCCTAGCACACGCAGAAAACCAGTCTGAGCTTTTCCTAAGCTATACACTTTTGCCTAAAAATCATTTTTAAACCCACACAAGAGACTGAGAGTAGAAATATGGAGAAAGATTCACATAGTTTTAACCTCTAAACAGGAAGAAGAACATGCATATGAGAGTCTGACAGCAAAACTTTTTCAAAACCTTCATTCACCAGCCAGCTCCGGCAAGTCTACCGCAGAAGTTGTCTTAACAAGAATGTGGCCAAAATTATTTTCTCAGGCTGCCACAGGAATGGCATTCAGGGGGGTGCTTCTTTCAACTTATCAGTTAGCACATATGTACCACAAATTTGTAGGAGTCAATAAAAGCGTTCACAGATAAGAATTTAATTATTTTTTAAAAAGGGGATAATTTGATTTTTACTCTAATTTTAAGATTTCAGAATGTGTAAATGCAAAATCATGTCCTGCCCTGTTTAAAATAAACCTCAAAACTAGCATTTTTTTTTACCAGATTTCCAAACAATTCATACCATTGATGCCACCTCCGCAGAAAAGCTTTGTCTGCTGTTACCGCTGCTCAATTTTGATAGTGCTAACAGCGCCAAGAGCCTCAACATTAGATGTTGTTGATAAGAGCTCTGAGCAGCGATTACATAAAGCTTCACAAATGTCAGGTGTTGGTCAACACAAACCTCCCAACATTAACAGCTCTTTCGGAAGTGAACTAGCACCAAAGTAAATAAAGTGAAAAGCCCTGGCCACTATGTTAAAATAAAGCCGTCACAAGAAACTTACGTGATTCAACTGCACCAGTCTGAAGGCTAAACAGTCTTTTTAGGAGGTGAATAAATCTGCAGCCAACAGGATTTGCATTCTGCTATCTCACGCTGTATAAGACAGGCAACTAACCAACCCTGGCTGGCAAGGTTTGTAACGGGCCATTCTCCCAGGAATCTAGTGCTCTTAGTGCCCAGCACAAACCCCGTACTGAAGACAAATGGAAATGGAAATGCTGCATGGGAAGACCTATCCACATGTGGGATGCCCAGATCAGCCCCAAACAAGTGGCAAAGAGAAAAGATCCATGACTTTATTCCTTTTCATTTGGGGAACAGTTAATATGCAACACATTACTCCTCCAAAGAAACTCCATTACTCCTCTCTTTAAGAAAGAGCAGTACTTTCCGATGGAACATCAGAAGCAAGGAGGAAGGGAATTTTTCACTGAAAACTTCTAGGGACAAGAACTGATTCCTCTTCTCATGGCTACATTATTCTCATGCTACTAACTTTACTGTTCTAGAAGACCTGCAGTAACTTCAACAGACTTTAAACAGGCTAGTTGACAGGTATGCTGGACACACTACTGGCTTCACATCTCTCACCTGTGTTGGAACGCTGGAGAAGCGATGGTTTGGCTGTCCCGGTGGCCAAGCTGGAGGAGGGGACAGAGAGGGATTTATATAGAGCCGTTTCTCGGTGTTCTTTAAAACGCTCTGCAGCCATGAGTGCATTAGAGAGCTCTTGCAGGGGCATATTGTTAATATCTGAAGAAAATGGACTGAGCGGGTTCTCCAGACTCATTAGCCAGCTTGTGTTACCTGGTAAGAGAGAATTAGGGAAGAGTATTACGTACTCCCTACTCCAGAAAGTTTACAACTCACCTCAAAGAAAGCACAAGTTGCTTGGGATTTTGCAAGTAAAAAAAAATCAAAGCAGACCAAGTTCTCAATTCTCCTGACATTTGGCAGAATCACTTGATTAATTTCCTATTTTCAGTCAAAAGCCATCCTTGGTAACTCATTACTACAGCAGATTCCCAAAGGCATCCAATACACTCAGGTATTTTAATTAGTGATACCAGGTCAGTTATTTTCTCATGAAGCGACTTTCATCTGAAATAGACAATTCCCTGTGAAAGTTGTGCAACACACCAATGTTCAAGAATTTTGACCTTGAACTTGTCATTACTCCTTCTCTAACAGCAGACACAGCTATGCAGCTACTTTAGCCATAAGCCTCATTCATCTCCAGTCGAGCACGGGAAGCCAGAACAGCACAGACAGATTTTCAACAAAGTGTAAAAATGGGAAATGCGAAGTAGGGTTGATATGATCTGGCTCTATTTCTGTAACAGCACTTAATATACAAATTTAAGTCCTTGCTTCAATCTTTTCAAGGGTCTTTTGTAGATTTAAAACACTAAAGAGTGATTTCAAAGAATTGAGTATCAAATGTATTAGTTTCAAGAGGCGGTAAGCAATAAAGAGATCCATTTGCAACTAAATACGGATTTTTCTTCTTCATCCAGGCTCCACTTTCTTAGCAAGAAGTCAAAAGAGCTCACTCCACGCTCAGGTAAAGATACCTGTGGGTCTGCGCACCAGGATTTCTGCCCATCCCTGTGTCAGCAGCGGGACATACGCAGCTAAGTTTGCTTTTTCTTTCTGCAGAGGTGTCTGTGGAGCAGGATTAGTCTTCTCTGATCGAGATGCAGGAGCTGGAGGACCCTGTGTCCCTTGGGAAGTCGAGCCACTGGGAAAATGGGAGGCTGAGCTGTCTAAGGCACCAACACGTAAGGCATGACCACCTAGCAAGACAGACACAAAACGGAAGGGAGAACCTTGCTTAGTTAGCACTAAAAAGATCTCAGAAGTAGTAAGTCTTTTACACTCCTCTAGCAGCTGTGCACACAATATTGGGAACCTAAGAGAATTCTACTTTCTATGTGTTTCTTATAAACCATGAGGTTTATCACAAACATAGGTGATTCTTACCGCAAGTGTTCACCACTTAATCCATCAGCAAAGCTTTCCTGCAAGGAAAGGCAAGCAGGAGGAGCACCACCACTCTGAGGCCAACAGCTGCTGCTACCTGCCCACTATTAAATACCAGACAGATCCAGATTCTCAAATTAGTTTAGACAGAGGTCTTTTCAGTAGGCACATGGACAATTAAGCCTGCGACACGGACCCAGAAATAGCAGTAAGACTCCAGGATTGGAATTTACCAGACATGGATCGGACTCTGTTGCGAGAGCTTCTGCAAACCTGCTGCCCAGCTTGAGATTCCAGTTTTGCTGGAGCTTCTTTAGTTTGTCTCACTTGCAAAACAGGGTCTGAGCTGTAGAACAAGAAGATATTGACGATATTGAGAGAGGAATCAGCCATGCTGGACAAATAAGACATTCCTCTTCTGGTAAGAGGAAAACCTAAAAAGATGCACTGTAACAGTGGTTTAAGTGACTTTATCAGGTGGAAATTTCTAGAATTTGGAGCAAAAATTACCTCGATTCTGTGCTGCTTTGGAGCTCTCCAGAGTCTAGGCCAAGCAGGGACCTCGTCCCTGTTCCAACGCTTGTAGTGATGGTCACCAGCTTGTTACCAACCAGCCACGTCTTTGTCCTTCCTCCAGCCAACAGAAACTCACCCACAGGAGACCTAGAAACACATTTGTGATGAACAGAGCTCTCAGACTGCAGAGCACAGAGCCCACACAGGTGGCTTATTTCATGTAACTATGCAGGAGGTACTGCCTGCTTTCCTTCTTTATACAGCATTTTTAACGTAGCCCCCAGTCGTCAACATACACATCAGGATAAGGGATGAGCTGAACTTAGTATCAATTGGTAGTAGTACTACTGGACACACACATCACAGAGCAGAAGGGAACGAGCCATGTCTGAGCTAAGCATCTCCTTCTGGGAAGGCCCAGCAAGAAAATTAAATGCCATCCATTCGAAGCCAGCTGGCACAACGTTCAGTTCTGTAGCGAAGGCTGTGATTATCCAGCAAGGACATGGAGCAAAGCACTGCTCACAGACAGCACGCCTTCAAGGCATCTCCTTCTCGACAGTTCAAGGATGAGGCAAAAGCTGGTTGGCTCCAAAGGACTTCTCTCATTTAACTTCGTGTTTAGCCACGCCAGATTTTATCTGCAGGGAATGGCTTCGGAGCCTGGGCCTGCCAGAATCTCAAACGTGTCATGGTAATTTTCCACTAATAAAGTGAAATACGAACCTCAAACAAAAACATCTCTCCCATGGTCACCGACTGACCCCTACCTCTTAGGCACCGCAGTGAAGTTGGAAAAGACGTATCGAGCCATCATATCCAGACAGGTCTCAGTGAGTTCCAGGTGAAGATTTTTTAAGTTGTCATCAGCCTGAGCCATTGAATTTTCATCTGCAGAGCCCAGGCTTGAACTAGTGATGGACGTTTGTATCCGGCTAGAACAGAATGTTTCCAACTGACAGATCACATTGCAAAATGCTTGTCCCTGTCACCCGAAAGACAGTGTGATGCAGAACAACCTGCGATACATGCACGTGCCGTATCAGAGAGGTGGCCAGACATTAAACCCAGGACATAATAAAATCATTTTTGGATCAGCCTCACATTGTGCCTTCGGGACCGTCATTGCAGAAAGTGTATTTTATCTTGAGAGACTGAGAAACATTTAGATGTCTGTCAACTGACTAGGTCAGGCCAGTGATCTCTGATTTTGGTGGCCCATGGGCAAGTGCACCAAGCAAACAGTGAGTGGCCAGCACCATGCTTTGAGTACGCTAATCTATAGTGAGGGCAAGCATCCCGTAACCTGCAGTTTCCCGGGCAGCATGTTGCCCATGAGCCATAAATTGGGGCACTCTAAGCTTAACTTCATAATCATGTGGTTTTCTTTTCTCTCTGTTGCACCCCTTTTATACATTGATTTTTTCCCTCCAAATTCAATAGCTATGTAAATCGTAATTTAACTTGAAATAGAAAAAAATTGCACTCTGAACAGGAAACTGGCACAAGAATAGACAGCAACTCTGCCTTCAAATCAGCCAAGTTAGCAATGCAATTTAAAACAATTACAAGAACAGGCTAGATAGAATATTTTATTAAGATGACTCCTTATGCCATCATAATACAAACTAAGCTGAGGTACAGCCAAATTTTTTATGACGTGACAACTTCTTTGGCATCATTAAGCATAATTATCTGAACTTTTAGTTGCTACCATTTACATATAAATATAAGGGAAGAAAACCACCTAATAGATTAATGGGGATATCAGAGAATGAAGTGCCAGAACTGTATTCACAATTCAGTCACTTCAGTGTCTTTCCCCCAAATACCATACAGTTATAATCAAAAATAAACCCACAGAAAATAAAGTTCCCCTGATAGCAATCCTTACAGATTAAGGCACAAATCTTCAGGTTCAGATTTTAAACCAACATGTTAAACACAACAGTTTAACACTCAAGGGAAGTGGTCCAGAAATACGTTTTAAAAACTGGCATAAATTGTTTCATCTTTCACGTGTGCAAATCAATGACTGCAATTAAAACCTTTTTCTTTAGTCGTGAAAGCAATAGCTTTATATGGGCTGAGCACACATTTCACTGCTCTACAGAAAGACAAACTAAGGTTTTCACAGCATTGTACTTTAGACCAGAATACTTCCATCAGCTCCCTTTGCCTCAAAGAGCAACTCCTAAACTGAGGTCAGAACTATTCCTCATAGTTTGGGAGGAGGGCCTGTATGTAAGTTTGCCAAGTATCAAAAGCCCCTCCTGGGGCAAGTCACTGCTTAGAATGCTGAAGTTTTAGTGAGTTTTAACCAGGACTCTCACGTGCACAGAATGCAACCTTTTTCCTTTTTCTTAGTGTTTTTTTTTGTTTGTTTGTTTTCCCCCTCTTCACCATCTTTACTTTGCAAATAGAAATTTTTGTTGCTAAAGCATCAGAGAATAGGGCAAAGTAATCATACACAACATAGGGTGTGATGTGACAACCCAACAGCCAGCGTTGGGAAGCCATGGGATATCCATGATTCTTTCTCAAAACCTTTGACTGCGGCTAAGGCCAGTTTTTTATTGCGTAGCAAAGTCATGCAAGCATCCCGCATGCAAATCCACCCTGCTTCCACCCACCCTTGCAGTAAAATTTCCAAGTGCTGAGTTGCTCTTGGATTCTCCCCATTTAAAGTGCCTCTACCTGCGGACCACATGTTCAGACACACTGATGCTGCGGGATCGGAAGGCATCAACTGCAGAGGATTCTTTCAGCTCTTTCACTGGAGGAGAGTTATTCAAGCCTTGCTTTGCATTTTTGGCTAGTCTTAAACTACTAGGTGGAGAAGCACCAAGCCCCAAAAGAGGTCACAGGAAGGGAGGAAATCATTGTAGGGATGTAGGTTGAAAGGTCACAGGTCACAGGGTCAATATTGGGGGATCCCGGAGGGTGATGTAAAATAAAACAAATGCCAAAAAAGGAAAACAAAAATTAAAACATACAAACAAGCAGAGCTGAAAGCATTAAAAAGACAAACCACATTTTGAAAACAAGATTTTAAACGTGCTACAAAACAAATGAAATTAGTACAAGTTAAAACAAAAAACTGATTGAAATGATAGTTGGAATACTGCGCTGTTAAACAAAGGCAAAAAGCACCTGAATGCTAATTTAGCACAAATTTCTCAAGTCTGAGAAGTTTTCTGCAGTTCATCCACCTCTTGTGTTGGCCCAGCTCACCACTTCAGCACGGCTAAAAACCTGACGACTTCCACAGACACCGGACCCTAAAATGCTTTACCAATACCAGGTAGCAGCACATTTTCCTAAGAGACACGGGAATATGTCAGACATCACTACCTCTGTTAGGCCTGGCCTGAAACTGAGCTTCTCCCCTGAATCTCAAAAACACCCAGGGCCAGTCAGAGGTGCCCCTCAGCTCCGCTCAAGATGCTGGGGGATACCCAGCCTGTCTATACAAGCCTGATCCTGCTCACTCTGCACAGACGGAAGGGCAAGATGACAAACATCCTCTTGGCTGTTGCTGACTGAGCGATGCTTTCCTGTCAAACAAGCTATCTTATTTCAGGTGCCTCGAGGTAACCCACTTGACTTTCAACTGGAACAGAAAGGAAGATAAGCCTTTACACTGTCAGGTGCCAACCATATGTGGGAGATGACAGCAATTAACATCTAAGAGGCACTTTAATTAGTCACAGCTAAGATGCATGCTTGGCCCAGTACCAATCTGGACATAACAGTTGGTCCAGCAATTCACATCCCCATATATAAAATGCAGATACTAATTTAACCCTTCTGGCTCTTTCTAAACATGATTTATTTGCTATCCTCCTTTCCATGAATTATTACATTTCAGATAGGAGGGATCAGAATTTATTTGTCCTTCTCTCAACAACCTCTTATGGATCACTTTTGGCCACAACTGGAGATGTGACTGCAGAGAGCACAGGCTCATACTCTGAGATAATCGCCCACACCAACATCATATCGTTCAGCAACCTTGGGAACCGTTGGGATCTTGATCTCTTGGAACACCCAGCACCTCAGCTAGGGCATATAAATGCTTATTCTTTGGGCTTAAGGAGTGAAAACCAAGCACACAAGCTTCTCAAGCAAGGAAACAGATATCTGCTCGAAGCTATTTCATTCTCTCACTTGGCCAGAATCCAAGCTCAGACAGACTCAGAGGCAGTGGCATCCTGCCATTCTGGCGTTTCAGGTTGCTGCCTGAGTACAGCTCACACTCCTTAGCAGAGATTTCTGTGGAAAGTGATCCAGCAGCGTTAGCAAAAGCCTTTAGATACAGTAGTATTCCAACCTGGTAGAATTTAACAGGTTTTTGGAAAAAAAGATTAGTTGAAATTCTAATTTGAGAGACGAGTGTCAAAAGGCTTCTCTTCCAAGTTTCTGAATGAAAGAGGAGGAGATGGGAGAGATGAAACACAAAACAGGGTTTACAGCTACAGCATTAGGGCAGGGATGGTGTTTCTTCATTGCAAGATACTCATTGAGCCTTGCAGTTAAAGTAGAGGCACTTTCCCCAGGGTTCAAATGCCACTGTATGCTTACTGCACATTAACACTGAAGCAAGTTAAGTGAACCAATTTAGGTAAGCCCTGCAGGCAAAAGGACATTAGAGAAACCCTGAATGCCTTCCAAGGCATATTTTCCTATCTCAGCAAATGTTACTTTGAAAGACTGCTGGCAAGATACGTTCTGACTTCTAAAGACATTAGGCTTTGCTTAAAACTGACATAATGGCTTCAAGATTCAAAAAAAGGATCAGGACATCTAGATACACAGAAGGCAGCTGTCTGCTACCCAGCACACTGACTTGACAGATAACACTATGGAAAAACACAGCACTGGCACTCTCAATTTATACAGGTTGCTAATCACAACTATTTCTCTGGCAATCATTTAAATAGTTGTTACAGATCAGTTATCAAAAGGAGTTCAAACTATCAATACGAACATGGTATTCTAGTACTTCTGGTATTACCCTTCTCTATTATTTCTGGTAGCATTGCACTGACACGCATCAACCCGAAAGAACTGTTGATTTTCAAAAATTAACAAGAAAAAGCCCCACACCTTACTGCAAAGGCTTACAGACCAGCCAGTGACCAGATCAGCATGTACTATCAGAGTGTCAGCTTGGTTTGATTCCAGCTCCTTACCAATCTAAGTTTGTCTTTTACCAATCCCCTGACCTAAAGAGGTTTACTTTGCTTGCTTAAATGCACAGTCAGATTTTGGATAACTAGACCCAGCCTCCTTCAGAAAAACACAGGGAAGGGTGTGAGCACTAGAGCAGGGAAGACAAGACCCTGCTGGAGTCAAATATAACTTACCTTTTTGGCCTCTCATTCAGGCTTGTACTGCGAGCCCTGAAACTGTCCTTCTCAGGTGTGTCATCAAAGGAAAGGAGGACATTTGAGCGCAAACCCTGCCGATTGAGACAAACAGATAACAGTCTGAATGGCTACGATGTGCAGCTGACAGACTGCAATCATGGGCACGAGAACTCACTGACAGTTTTTAAAAGGATGTTTATGAGAAAAGTAGAATTTTTCTAGTTTCAAACAGAACCTTTAAACTTCTCAAACCAGTTTTTAAGTCATCATTTTTATTATATACTGTTTGATTCAGTAGTGTCAATTACCTTTGTAATATAGGGGACAAAGTCCTTTCGGAAGGGAAGGCGACACCGAATGAACCACATAGCTATCACGTGATGGGCCAGGCAAACAATGTACTGGTTAAACCTAAAACAGAAGAAAGATCTCCAGAATTTAATGCTGCATTAGGATGCCATTCCAGAACAGAAGAGAAGGACTTTTCAATCTAGAGAAACAGAACTGTTCCTTTACCTACTGTAAGTATAAAGAAAACAAAAAAAGTTTAGAAGATTTGTTCAAGAAAAACAAATATTTTGTCCACGGTGAACACATCCCTTCTTCCGAAAAAGCCTGGAGATACCAGAATGAGCTATATCCTATAAATTATCTTGACAAAATTACTACAAAAAAAAAAGCATGTCTCATTCTCTTAATTTTACAGATGAGGAAGAAGCACATTTGCTTTGAACTTACTTGGAAGGGTTTGTGTACGGTAGGGAGATGGCGAACACACTGGCATACTGCTCTGCTGCAAAATTCCTGTAGAGGTGAGGCAGCCTTGCTAGAGCTAGAACAGTTCAAGAAGAAAACCAGCACAGGTGAGATCTGAACACAAAGTATTCAAAATCACAATTCAGTTTAATGTGAATTGGTTTGTTTCTTCTAAATCATCAGCTGACATGGAAAGTTAACATCATGGTATAATTTTGTGCCATTTAAGTTATAATCAGCAAGGTGGAGAAAGCAGCTTAGTATTTCCCATTGCTGTATGGCTGCACTACACAAAGCATGTCTCTTTCTTCAGTGTGTGCAAGTGCCTTCAGTAGAAAAACAGTAAAAAACAAGAGATGATCGAACATTTACATCTTGAGGATGGTGCAAGGGCATCACCAAAACCCAAGAAACCCTTACAATGCATTCCACATGACTAATACAATCCAAATACCCATATTCAGTGCAAATAACACATTTACAACTATAGAAGATCAAAAGTAAAAAGAACATTACAACTTACTTGAAAGAAATTCTAAGAGAGGGATGGCCATATTGGCTGTAGCAGAAATGTGGGTTAATTTGACTATTAAGACGGGAAGCGCCTTTATGATGATGTCGGGCATCTCGACGCTACAGACAGAGAGTGCCACAACGCACTGGTTTGCACAGCGGTAAATAAGACCGTGTTCCAGGCAATACACTATTTCACGCTAGAGGAGTAAAAAAGAAAGAAAAAACCTCTGATGTACCATCTCCTAACTTCAGTTAGCATTTCAGAATGGCTTGGAAGGTATCACTATGGCATGATGCCTTCTTATCCAACATGTACTAACAGAGAACCCTAAATGATGTTGCACGCATTCTAGGCCAAAATCTTAAGATGGGACTTTAATCAAGTAGACATTTTAGAAATTAATACTTAAGTTTCTGATTAAACAGAATTATTATGGTTATCAGGGTCTTCCAGCAGAAGGTAAAGTCACTCAGCAACCTGCAAGCAGTGACAGGTATGGATGGAGAACAGTGAACCCAACTGACCGGACAGTTACTGCTGCACAAAGTTAGCAAAGTATTTTTTCACCCCGACTCAATCCCAAATACAGCAGATGCAGCTTTTTATAACAGAAGAGAGCAGGGTTACCTTGCACTTAGGTCTCCTAACCAGCTAGTATGAGAAAATGCTCTACCATACAGGCTCAGGCCCCATCCCCCCTACATCCTCTTACTTTCCCCGTACCTGTTTAGCTTTGTCCAGATAATTATGATAAGATATTAATGCCGTCAGTACTGGGACTACAGCCAGATGCAAATCCGTGCGAGAAAAGCCTTCTGGGGTACCGTGAAGCCTGTCAGTAGTCTTTTTGTCTGTGAGCTGATACATCACACAGTAAGTTAGAATACTTCACACTAAAAATACTCTCTAAAAGGCAGGAGAGAGGCACTGCCTGTAGCTCCCTTTTCATATGCATACATAGAGAAAGAACATTCCTTATTACCTACTTCTGTACCTAAAACCACCCTCACAAAAAGGGAAGATTAGTGAGGATTGACAACCAGTATGCTAATCTTCAAAATATTAGACTGAAGAAAAAACCCAAAAAAACACCTCAAAAAAAAAAAAAAACAAAAAAACACCTCAAAAAAAAAAAAAAACAAAAAAACACCTCAAAAAAAAAAAAAAACAAAAAAACACCTCAAAAAAAAAAAAAAACAAAAAAACACCTCAAAAAAAAAAAAAGAAAGCCAACCAACTCTCAAGCAAACTAAGGGTCTGGTGATTATACATGAGTAGGGTGCGTAGCATTACCATGTAGCTCAGTGCAGAGGCCAGGAGGTCTATGTTACAAGGAGAGGTTAAAAATAGCACTTTATAGCGGAGGGATTCAGGTAATTTGTTGAGGACCAATTTCAACACCTTCCAGTCTGTCTCCTGGCAAGAAAGAAAAAGTTAAGGTGGAAATTTTTTCTACAATTTTAGTTCAGTTTGAAAGTAAGACCAACCAAATTTCAGACAACATGCCATTTCCTAAGCAGATGTATGTCTTGCCATGGTAGCTACATAAAAAGAAGTGGCATTTAGCTCTCACAAGTTAATTCCTGTCTGTCATCCAGCTCTAGGTGCAATATTGGCACTGCAGACTTGAAGACAACTTGTATCCAGATCTGACTGAGCTTAAAAAGACAGAGCCAGAATTCAATTCTCCTAACGACTAGCACAAATCACCCCCCAGAGCAAGACAACCCCTCAGCACAGAACTAGGTCCAATACAACACTAATGAACCATTTATATTTACAGTTTATTAGTGACTGAAACATTTATCAATTCTCAAAATACTTAAAAAACTTGCAGTAAGAGGGTTTCTTTTAGTTTCAATGCCCTTTCAGAAACAGGATGACTTATCTGATCTTTGTTTAACAAACACTTTTTGCCCTTGTCTGCTCTGAAGCAGAGTGAAATGAAAGTTTTGCTTAGCTTCTGAAGAGCTGAACTGGTGCTCCCACTGGTGGTTGTAAAGCTGCGCAATCACACACAGATTCTGCCCAAGAGGGAGGATTTAACTATTGCTTTTCAGACTTATTTAGATACTCTGGGACAGAATTCTCTAGCTAGCGGAATCACGTTGACATATTTCACACGAAGACAACAACTGTCATTAAGAGTGGACATACTTGCTTCAAACACTGCAGAAGGACGCCAAAGACCATCGAGTACGGCAGATGTCCTATACGAATGGTGGCGTTCTGGGAAGGCACACTGGGACTTCCTGAAGGTGGAGAGAGCGTACCAGCAGGCTTTTTCTCAGAAGCCCTCTTCTCTGCTTCTCTGCAACATCGAAAGGGAGAACACCACATGTAATGTAAAATCAAGATCAGAACAGCCTATTCATGTGACCTACAGTGCTCCCCTAGCCAGTTTAATGACCAAACAACAATATAAATTGCATTTTCAATTAAAAACCACAGGATTGGCCAACAGACAGACAGCAACAGTTTGGTCAGGTTAAGGATTTTTCTATCTAGGCCCCTATCAAATTTAGAAAGATATATTTTGGGGCATGTTACACAAAGTAGTTCAGACCAAGCTACAAAATTAAAAATAGCCAGACTTGTACAAATCATTGAATCAAACTTCAATGTGAAAACTGGTTTCAGGCAGGAAATTGCAAATATTTTTTGTGAAGTTTTGTGAGCAGGAACAGAAATTTCATGTCTGAGATTGAGAGCTCTGTAGGTAAGCGATTTGTAAGAACAATTCACCAATGAGTTATTAGTTGCGACAATCCTAGGCTGTAACTACAGATTTGTCTAGCAGGTAATTCACCAGGATCTGGAAGATTTAGAAAAACTGCAGATTGCTACTGATGGACCATTAAGCTCATGCAAAAATACCAAATAGTTTGGAAAAAAGCCTTTGCTTAATTCAATGAGAAACCTACACAAAATCACACAGACAGTAAGGGCTGAACCTCACTGCTCCATCCTTGTTGGAAAGGCCAAGACGGTGGAGGGAGTCAGCTCGAAGCATCAGCAGGAAATCAAATACAAGTAACAGAGAAGACACTGGAATCACTCAAAACCCAAGCCAGTGGAATATTCTGCCACCTCCTTGTGTGATGCTTTTGCAAGTACAAAGGGATTTTTAATAGATGCTGTGGCCAGTTCTGTAGCAGGCATCACTTCTGGTGTTACAGTACACGTACATAATCCTATTAGCCAAGAAACACTTAATTCTACTTCTACCAATCTCTAAAGCCCACATTCCCCACCTGCCACCCAAGAATTCCAGACAGCATGCAGCTCTCAACCTGAAAGCACAAGGTTACTGCTCATACCTGCAATCTGATGCTGCTAGCAACAGCAAGGCTGTATGCATATATATAATGGCGTTGGACGTGGTGAATCAGCATCTCGTACACCCGCATTGCATGGCTGGAGGGTAAGCTGTAGAGTTTTGTCTACAGAGGAAGAGAAACACTCGTCAAAAGGCAGATTGACACTTGTTATTCAGAAATGTGTATCTGCACTGAGAAGTCAAGAAAAACACAGCAAAAACTTGCTCCTGAAAGCAAGATGAACAGACGGCTCTGGATAGAACCTCTGTGAAGACTCCAGAGCAACTCTGCCTGGCTCCAGAAGGGCACTGGCTGGAACAACCAGCTCTTCACAACTGCTTAACTGTATCTCGGGACACTCCACCCGAATACAACAGATCTATTCAAGGTTATGAACCACTCCCTTTCTGCTAATTTATGAACACATCTACCCTCCGCACATGAAAATGTGCTCATATTCATTGTACAACGGAAATTAACAAAATAAAACATCTAGCAAATAGTCATGCAGTACCCAAAAGCAAAAGGAATGACCAAAACCAATATGACAATATTAAGTGGATAAAATAAAAGCTGGAATATTTAATAGTGAGAGAACAGTTATCTAAAAAGCCAAGTCCAGCAGAAGACTATTCTGAAGAAGACATGTTTACTATTCTGCAGCATTTACCTGAAGAATTATCAGGAGTCCAAGAACTGCTGTCTTGACATCCTCCAAAGAAGCTGAATACGATAGCAAGTCCCTCTCTTCCAGTTCAGAAGGGGATGAGAGAGAATGTGCAGCCACCTTTTAAAAAGAAAAGCAATACATGGTTTAAATCTGCAACACACCTTTTCTTCCACCCTGGAAGGTCAGAAAGGACTACAGCAAGTAGTCCTTGCTGGAAATTCTGCCAGCCCCGTCAGGTAGCTTGGATGTGTACTGATAGGGTTTCTAAAGCTCCCTTCTGCTCTGTACTTCAGACTTGCATGTGCCCAAACCCAACTGTTTTAGAATATCCTGCTGAGCCAAGCACCTGGTAACCGTCTTGGGTTAGTCTCCGCAGTCACAGTAAGAGGATCTAGCAAAGATGCGGTGATGCTACTGACAATTGACCAAACTCCGCCTCACCTTTTCTATGATATCAAGCAAGCTGTTAAAGTGATGTGTGTTGCAGCCTTCAGCCAGGTCTACGAGTAGCTGAGTGGCCAGTTTTCGGACTTGATGGTCTTTATCCTCTGGAATGTGAGCCAGCTGAGAGATCACAACCAAGTTGATCAGCTCTTCCTGCAAGAGGACAGACCTCAATAAGTCTTGATATTTTGCTGTCAGTTATTCAATCAGCATGTTAAAGATACAAATAACGTCAAACAAAAGAACACTGATATTCTGACATCAGGCTTGTTTGTCAACTAACTGTTTAATTCCTTGATCTTTCCTCTTCCATCCAATTAAGTATTTCTGTACGCCATCCCTCCAAATATTTATGACTCTTGTTGAACTCAGATTCAATGCTTTGGTTTTCATCTGTCCTACAGACTTGATAGCCCACGCTCAAACAGGCTGTTGACAAGGGGTTTCTAGGGCTTTGGTTTTTTGAGAGAGAGGAAACAAGCAACTGCATCATGTTTTCACAAATCCTGGAGGAATCCAAGAAGCACTTCTGCCCCTTGCTGTCCTCTGACACTCTGGGTACATTCCAAGGAGCTGAAGACATCCCCAGAACTCTTCTGCAACTCCTCTCTCAGACAGCTTCCATCTTGGATTGCAATTAAACCGCAAACACCAAGACAAGTCAACCTGCTCACATCAGATTGTGTCCAGACCTCATCTTTTTACTAAGTTTTTAAATAAACTCGGTATCTCTCACATTCACTTCCCTTTCTTCCAAAACAAAAAGTATGTGGAATTAACGACCTTAAAACAGGGAAGCAAAACACAGGAGCTCCCACTGCCACAAGTTGCACATACATGTATCCAACCAAGGACAATTAAAAGGCAAGTCCTCCAACAAGCATCCTAAAGAAACATGAGTATTGTATGCAACATCTAAATCACAGTTCTGTGCATTCCCCAGTGGCAGAGATGACCTGAAGCACACCATAAAACATCCCTCACCAAAGCCTTTCCCACCCACTTAAGATCCCACATGTGATTATCAGAAACAGATAAACACAAACCTCATAGAACTGTCTGTTAATACTCAGGACAAAGGACAAGACATCCAGAACTTTAATACGAACAGCACTACGACTTTCGTTCCTAAAAAGGGAAGAGCAAATTCAAGATGAATAAAATAAAGTTGCTGACATTTAGGGAAGGGGGGAGAGGAGAAAAGGAAAGTAAAACTAAAGTAAACTAAGAAATTTCTTAAGAATAAGAACAGTAACTGTTAGAGAGCCTTCAGTTAATGTCTCTACATATGAAAACAGACTCAAGAACAATTGGAAACTGGAATCCCAGTTCAGCTTTTACTACTTCTGGAGACCTCTGACTGCAGTTTTCCCATTTCCAGTCCAAACTAGGAAGCACACGTCAGAAGAACAAGTGCTCTGGTGAGCAAATTTAAAACCAAACATATGGCACTGAGGGAGAGCTGCTCTTTGGCAGCATTTCAGAGAGAAGACAGAAGTTTGTTATTGATGTATGTTGATATTTTAGAGCACAAGAATACTTTTAGGAGTACCAATTCAAAACCAGATAACTTTAATACTGGATAACCATATGCAATCCTGATGCTTAACAGGAAAGTCTTGTTTGATGTCAGAATTACATAGCACTGTGGAGTGGAACACATAACTGCCTAAGCTAATGGGAATAGCACCATCCAATGGAAATGAGAAAAAAAAAAAAAGGCAGCATAAATAACTCAGCGGAAAGTTTTTCTTCTGCTAAACAAAATCCTTTCATGTGCTGTGCCCTGGAACTACCATACTTCTTAGCAGTCATTTACTAACGTTAAAACTTCAGAAAACAAAATTATCTAACATGAAAAGGTGGCAAGAAACATTTGAAATTGACTTGTATTCACAAAGCTATGATTTCATACCTGAAGAATCTCTCCATTAACATCTGCAGGTTGTGAATCCAGCCATCTTTGGCAGGATGAATGGACTGAGCTCTGTATGTTATCAAGTTTAATACAGAAGATTCCTTTCATGGAAAGATCAAGAATATTTTTTTTTAGTGTATAAGCAAATACAATCTATCCATTCCCCCAACCCCCACCTCAAGATTAAGGCTCATAAGCTCTTGCTGTGATTTTCTGACCACTTGCTACTTTAGGACTCTCAACTTCCAACTGTACTGAGTAACAAAACAGATTCAACCACCAACAAAGGAAGGCAATAATAAGTAAAATCTTACTGGTCTCTGATCAGCACATCTTTCCACCAGCTCAAAAAATCTCTCTTCAGAGCCATGGAATTCATTCTGGTCACAGAGCTCTTCTACTGTAGTCAAAAGATCGTGTACAATGGACTTAAGTTCTTGGCTCTCCAGACTCTGAAACAGATGAAAAAAAATCCTAAAAGACTTCTATCTTATCAGAAAGTGCTAACTTTCTATACAAACAGAAAAATTGGTTGAGAAGCACAGTATTGAGAATTTGGCTAAACCTTTATTCAGTTTCAAAGTTCACTAGAGCATACAATCAGGAGATCAATTTGAAAAAATACTTATGGCAAGGTTTTTTGATTGAAAGCGCATCAGGACAGGCTCAACACTTACCTGCAGCTGTTGTAGCAATCGCTCCATGATGTCCAAAAGGATATCCCACGTTACAGCTTGCAGCTCCTTCCCATACTTCTTTATTAGACGTGTTATAGACAAAACTATCTCATAAGACACAACTGCATTGGGACATGTCATGGCCTGAAATACAAAGCATTTCAGTCAGTTAACAGTTGAAAAGCAGTGATCAGCAACCCTCTTAAATTCAAATGAAACACATCTTACTAATTAGGAACTTAGCCTGAAGGTCTGAGATAAATACATTCAAGTCTATACACACAAAGGGCAAAGCAAAGAACCATTTTTTAAAGTGCAGTTACGCACTCCTGCAAACAGCTGTACATCAGATGTCAAATACGATCCCATCTTACAGAGCAGACACATGAGGTTAAAGCTAGTAACTCCTGCTTGATGCACTTCAACGAGAAAATTTTAAGAGAGCTCTGAGGCTGTCCCCGAAGACACCGTACCTCACTTTTTGTACCACATGCTACAAAGAGTGAAGTTTTTCCTTTGTTTTTATTTTTTAAGCTAAGGTACTCACAATGTAGGTATTTGATAAAAGGAATTCAGACTTTGCTTTTCCAGCCAACAAAGATATTCCAGAAGGAGGGCTTGGTTTCAAACTTAAATCCTTTGTTGTTTTACTGTTTCCCCACACTTCACCGCATACCCAGTTGCTGTCTCTCATCTTAAGGGCATACGTGTTGTGTAGTAGACCACATTTTTGTTCTAAATTTGTGCAGGTCCAGATGTATACCTGACTAAAAAGTTCCTCCAGCATCCCATCCTACCTTAAGGAATGAAGGCAACACTGAAGTTGGGGAATTCTTGAGTGAATTGAGGCGATGAGCACCCCACAGAGCCATCCCAACAAAGAATACAGCTCCTCTCAGCAGCGCTGCATCTGCCATGTAAGCTCTAAGAACAGATGGAAGGAAAGTCTTAGATCACGCTACAATTATTTTATCATACAGGAGTGAATAGGAATATACACTGTCACAAGAGCAATTCCCATCTGTTATACAGCAGAGCCTTGCACAGCAATTTACAAGCATTAAAAGCTGAAAAACATATAGTACAACTTTAAAGAAAGGAAAATTAAATTCAGAAAAGCCAAAAAATGAGCACTTCAGCAGCATAACTAGGAACAGAATTTCTCTTCTAGGCACCAGAACCTTCAGTTTGTTCTACTGAGGTCAGTGACTCCCTACCTATCTCAACAGAACCTCTACTGAACTCCTTGGGTTTTGTTACATAGACCTTCTTTACCTGTCTTCCATGATTCTGCACATATTGTAGATGGCACTGTGTCCCAAATGAGTTCCCAAAAGGTTGCGCATAAGCTGCAAATTCAAAGAGAACAGTTAAATATCCATTTGTTAAAACACTCGTTAGCCTAAATACGCAGTTAGCTGGCCAATCATTCCCACTTATGGTAAGTAAACGTGTCCAGCATCTTCCATGCCACAACAGAAGCCTGTCACATCAGCCAAGAGGAAACTATGGGTAAATTCCACGGACGTGACAGGACTTCCAGTAACAATGTGCTGACCCCTTAATACTTGAAATTTAATTCACTTTTAAAACCAAACTGAAATTTATGGCTGATGTGCACAGGCACATGTGACACTTCATCTTTGAGGCCAAAACAGTGAACTCATTAAAAACCAAAACTACAAGAAAGTTCTGACCTTCCAGCATGGCTCGCAGAGCTCCTTCACATTGATCGTACGGCACAAAGTGATGATAAATACTGGCAGGTTCTCTGATGGCAGACAGTTATAGCAAACAACTGCATCTAGGACTTGCAAGGAAATCTGTGGGAAAGAGAACGGCAACATGATTATATGCTTCTCTCTGAATAAAGCAGGTCAAATTCTAACCTGGCAGACCAGGAAATCATCTGGAAGTCACAAGGGATAGAGATGTCCCCTTTTTTTAAAAAAAATTAAATTTTTAAATCATTGCAAGATCGAAAGTAAACTATAAAAAGCACTGTTGAAAAATCGATCTCCTTATGAAATTTATCAATGCTCTGTTTTAGGATAAAATTATTATTGGTGCATGACATCCAATGGTTTACAAGTACTTCCTAACATTGTATTAGCTGTCTTCTAAGATGAGAATAAACTGAGAGTCTGATAATCTGACTTTGTTTGCAAAAGTTACAGTTTCAAAGGATTTCAAAGAGCTCTAAAGTACTAAGAGAGACTCAAATTACTGACCTCTATGTCCACAGATGATGAAGTCTGAATGCACAAGAGGCATATCTTGCTGTTAGGAAAGAACATTTAATTATAATTGTTTGCTTAATACGATTTTAGGCAAATTACAGAGCCAACCAGACAAGTAAATTGGCGTGTTGTTTTACTCATCATTCCCCTTACTGCAGCACTGTTGATAATGCCCCTAGAGACAGTGAACACTACAACCTCTTTTATAAAGTTAGCTTAAAGTTGCACTTAAATGCAACTCACTATGCCTACACTAATACAATAACAGAGACCCTTTGTGAGACTAAGCAATGCAATCAGGTCCATCACATGAAATGGGGAAAGCACATGCAGTTAAACTAAACCAGATCTGAACATTTTAAGAACTGAAAATTAAATATTTGTCAGACATGTCAGGTATGACGTGGAATGAAACAGATTTAGATTGGGTGAAAAATATTCCACTTATCTGTATGTTGATCTGCAACTTTCTTCTGTAATTTACCAAGAATAAGCATGTAGGAGTTAAAAAAAACCCAAACAAACAACTTACTGGACCATGTCAGCTACATAGTCTTCCAGATAGCAGCTATTGAATTTCACAAGGTTCACTAAAACCAGAAGGAACTCAGAAGACAAACCAACATCCATCCACTGTAGTACAAAGTCAGCTAAAGAAGGAAAAGAAATTGTTACAATACGCTTTCTACCCAGAAGTATTATCACTACCTTTTTCTCCTATCACTGAATGCCTGTCTCTTGACTTATTCCCACCAAATGGAAGAGAGGTAGAGACAATACTCACCTAACTCTTCTTCTAAGTAGGTGATGTATCGTCCATTCTCTGTTAGAGCCTTGAACACTTCAAGCCGTTCATGCAAGTCTTCATTGGAGGGATAGTCCTTAATAACCTTAAAAAAATGTGCTCTGAGGATCCCTAATCTCTCACCCTTTAAAAAAAAAAAGTGGGGGCCAGGGGGAGGAAGAACAGTGTCACCAATGTAAAAACACAGTTAAAGCCCGGACATTATCAAGGTCTGTAACAGTAATCTTCAGGCTTGAAATTATTCTCTTTTCCTACAGCCTACAAAAGTCTCCTGAAAATACCTCCAACCTCTACTGGCCACTGACAAAGGCTTGGGTCTTCTCAATCTGTTATATCAGTACTCAGGGTTGGAGGCATTTTGTCCAGCAACACACAGACAGCATCCGATACACAAAGAAATCCCTGGGCACTGCAACCGACAAGCACTGCCAGTAGAGCATTTGAAAAACAACAACCCAACAAGCCAGAATCAATGCCTACTCTTTTTGTAAGCGTCTACCCCTACTTTTTCAGAATACTGAAAACTAGAACTTTGGTCTGATACAATCTTACGTTTGTATAGCACATTGTGAAATCTGAAGAATTCACAGTATGCTTAACTTGGCCAGCCTAGAAAAGTATCTCATACAGAACTTCTTGCATACTTGACATGCTGAAACATCAAAACCAGCTGCATACTAGGACCAATAGGTTTGGTCAAAGACCATATAAAGTTTGCTACACTATGCTGAACTTAACCCAAAGTATTTCCTCTTTTTCAAGAACATTGCCCCCAAAACAGAAAAGCTTTCTATGAGTTGTATGAAAAGTTTTGCTATGAGGTCAAACCAAGACTTAAATTTAAATGCTTCCTCTTCCCATTTACTAAGCACAAAAATAAGAAACGTTCATACTCTGCACAAACCCTAGTTTAAGTGTAGTGTTTCTCCTACACTTTGTTTGTTTTCACCTGTCCTTGAACAATTGACTTTAGCAGATGAAGAACAGCATGTCTGGCTTCAATGGGGCGCTCTGGCTGGAGCATATCAGCTACCACTTTCCATATTGCTTCCACTGCATGCTGAAAACAAACAAGAGGAGACAGGCAGTAGGAGGAAAGCTAAGCTTCTTCCCGGATTTTTACTCAGTAGGTCAGTCATTAATTATGTCAAGTTAACGAACAAAATCTCCAGGTATTTCATGTCTGGACTTCTCTTTTCCAAGGGGCACTCACACCTGCCCAGTCATAAGCTCAGAAAAATCACATGAGAGACACCAAACCCTATCCTACATGACAACTTGCACCCCAGTAACTGAAGTTCTTCATTCACACACTTACTTCAGTGTGAACATTCGTGTAGAAACATTCACCCAAATACAAGATGAGTTTAAAACCGATTTGAGGTTGCTTACTAAGAAGACAGAAGGAGCTAGCAAAAACCTCTTCTACAGGATTAACATGATCTCCCATAAACTGTTCCATTCAGTTCAGGAAGCCCATCAGCTACGTCCTCTCTGCTCCACAGCTGGTAGGTTGGACACAACTAATTCCCTTGGCATGTGAGCCATCTTTTTACAGGTTTGGACAGCACAAAACAGCTTCTGTGATTAGCAATTTTAAAAGGCAGTCTAAACTACAGGAGCCTCTAGATTAAGTGCTGTTTTCCTTAACTGTTTATCCTTCAAATAATCACTGAACACTTTGAAACTTACCTCTTCAATTTTTTTAGTTTTTGCCACTTCACAAATTTGACTGATTGCTCGTATCCTATTACTTAATCCACATTCTATGCTCAGTTCCTGGAAAGAAATGTAGAAATAAGCTAAGAGTTTATCTTACTAGAAACACTTATCCATTTCTCAAAGGGGATCATGAACCACTGAAAAATGAACTACACATTTGTCCAAAATGATCTAACCGTTAGTCATCAGTGGAGCGTTTCAGGAATTTCTCCAAAATCTTTTTTCCATTAGCAAATGATTTGTCAAAACTAAAACTTTCACAGAACTGGAGCCAAGCTGCTTTTCACCTCCAGGACAGAACATCTAATTTTCTTCAGAAAGTTAATAACTCGCTGGCTGTGGTGCTTGTCCAGTTCACGGGAGAAGGGCAGAGAAGGGAGGGACTTGAAGTCTGGCTCTCCAGCCTTCCAGCAGGTAAGGGCTTGGCTGCTCCAGCACAGACGGGAAGGGATTCTGGTCTCCTTCTCCCTTTTATGTGTTTTCCTCCCTGTGTGCCAACTAGTCTGCTTACAGACTTGCTCTACCAATTTATGAATTTTTTTTTATTATTTTTTTTTAAATTTTCACAAAACCGTAAGGTTTTCATAAAATAGAAAGAGTTTCCAGCTTGGGCTAACTGCCATCACATAAACTTCATCAAGCTCAGATTATAAAAAAAGAGTAACACATTTTGAGGAAACACCCTCTAACCAACATAAGACAACACCATCCTACCAAATATCTCAAAAGTATTCAAATACTGAGTAACTAAAACGCTCTAACTTCAAAGTAGGTGAGTTTTACAACTATTTCACTAGAGAATGAACTGAGAGCTAAGATAAAAAGGCATGGTCGGAGAGAGGATGAATGTCAAAACAGAAAGGAGAATGAGCAAGCCCTCCTTCCAATCCTCTCAGCTCAGGTAATCCAGGCACTATCCCCACCTTTACTACGGTCAGTTCTCACACCTTGAGTATTTCCGCAGTGATGATAAACTCCGTTTGTTTGCCCTCTGACGACTTTGAACTTCCCCGGGATGTTCCCAGCCCCAGGAGATTCCTGAACTTCTCCTTCAGTCCAGAATCCTTGCTCTGAGGCTTTGCCATTGCTGACAAGCAAGCAGCGCTGAGGCCCTGCAAATACAGAACAGGGTTTCTGTTAAGGGAGACCCAAGGGGAATCTTTAAGCGGGAATACACTGGTAACAGCCATAACAATGTGACTTTTACAAACAGCTCTGGCGTCTTAAGCCATTTCAAACAAGGGAGAAGCCCAACACTGAGGATGAAACAACAAGGAGCCTGCATGCATGAGGGACCTGCGCTGCTCCTGCCTTCAGTACCTACATCCTGCAGCTACCTGAGGAATGGGGAGCTCGGGGTTATGATTTTCTGGGAGCTCCGAATGCCCAGCACCACCACAGCCCGCATAGAGCAACCACCATTTTAAAATCGCTGAGCTGATTTTTGAAGCATAAACACACACACACACTTTTTGGCGGGTGTGAGCTGAAGTACTTGTTCCCAGTCCAAAAGCAATGGACAAGCACACAGCACTGTAAAGTAGATGCTGAAAGTAGCTAGATATGGGGAAAGACTTACAAATCTGAGCGTTCGAACATTCAAATGCTGCCAAGGCAAGGAGAAAGAGAGGGGGGCAAGAACAAGCACACCCATTACAGCAATAGCACATCAACAACAACATCCTTCAGAAACTATCCCCCCAGCCATCCCCAACTTGCTGCTCCTCAAGGACCCTGGAACCCAGCTCAGAGCAGGACACCCGCTCCTTCCCTGCTGGTGCAGCCCCAGCACCCTGCCCTCAGCACACACTCCTGCACAAACCCAGCAGCACCCCAGCTATGCCCCATGCCCCCATGGACATGCCACAGCAATTCCTTGTGCTTCCTGGTGACACACCACAAATCTTGTCCCAGCATCCCAGGGGACACGTTGCTGCCCCCAGCCCAGGGAACACACCAGTCCCCAGCCCAACATGACCAGGGGACACACCATAACCCTCAGCCAACCGCCCTGGGGGACACATCACAGTCCCCAGCTCACCGCCCCGGGGACACACCACAGGCCCTCATACAGCCCAGGACATGGCACTGTGTCCCCCCATCCCCCCCCCAAACATGTCGGGACCATACCACAGCCCCTC